GCAGGGTGTTTCTTGGCATGGGTCTCCACTGTATGGCTTGGACGCCCGAAATTGGCACGGAAAGAATGGGTACAGTGCCCAACAACACATGTTGTCCCAAACCAACAGCGGCAGCTGTTAGGCAAGCGGCCCTCTGTCTCAAATGGACACCGGCCGCGGCGGCGCGGAAAGCGAGCTCTGTTCAGAATGAACAGGAACTGCTGCCGGGCACAGTGCCCATTCTTTCCGTACCCATTCCGTTCGTGCCGACATGGCGTTGTTTCTTTTTGCTCAACGAGGGCTGCCACTCCTCCGACGAGGTCGGGCGCGGCCAAGAGGGGGATGTCCAAGAGGGGGGGTGCAAATCATGACCGGCGGCATGTGCGCGGCCTAGCGGGGGGGGGGGGCCAGGGACGTCATGAAACAAGAAGAGGCGCCATGAAATCAGGGCAGATATCACGGCCCACGCCATGATATCCCCCCCCCCCTAGTCATCACCCCCCTCTTTTCCGCCCCCGACACTCCTCCGACGAGGGCTCGGGGACCAGCTGACCCGGGTCAATCCAGACCCGGGTCAGTCAGGCCTTGCAGAGTCCTGCAAGATGCTGCAAAATCCTGCACCCAAACCCGGGCCAATGCGAAGGATCCTGCAGGATCCGGCAGGATCCAGCACCCAAACCTGGGTCAATGCGACCCTGGCCCTGCAGGATCCTGCAAGGTCGGGGCGCTCTGGCTGACCCCCGTTTGCACTGACCCCCGTCTCGAGGCTCCCGAAGGTCGGGTCGGGCGAAAGGGGGGGATAGCAAAGGGGGGGTTTGAGAATCAGCTCACGTAGCTGATTTTCCCGGCGCCTCCCGGCGCCGGAGGCGGCCACGTATCGAGGAATGGGCCCCTCGGTGAGGCCGAAATCAGCTGCATGCAGCAAATTTCGTAACCCCCCCTTTCCCAATCCCCCCCTTTCGCCCGACCCGAGAAGGGCCTCGGGCCCGGCTCCGGCTGGGCCGGGGCCTCCCGACCGCCCCCCAATCGCGCCCGAGAGGGGGAGCCCGTGGCCCGGGCGCGCCCGCTCTCCCGGCGGTGCGGCGGCAACCGCGGCCTCTCGCTGCCGAGTGGCACGCGGCGGGCCGTGCACCGTCCCCGTCTCTCTCGGGGATGGACGGAGCCCCCTTTTGAAGGGGCCCTGGGACACACAAATCAATAGACACAGATAAAAGGATCCACCATATTTTCCAATACGTTCTGGGTTTATGTCTTCCCCCCCACTGCCCGTATTCTCCCATATTTTCTGGGGAATCGACGATTCATTGTGTCTGTTTTTTTTTCCCCCCTGAGTGGACCGTCCCCGCCTCTCGGGGATGGACGGAGCCCCCTTTAGCAAAACGTGGACTTGTGAAAGCGACCTCGGGCCCAAACTGGGGGGAACAAAAAGTGGCATAAACATAAACACTCGGAGGTCCGCGCGGATTTCTCGGATCGGCGCTGGGGCCCCCCAGCGGCGCCTCCGGCGCCGATCCGAGAAATCCGCGCGGACCTCTGAGTTTGTATGTTTATGTCATTTTTTGTTCCCCTACAAACCTGGCGGGCGCAGGCCTGGAAGAGGACGGCCGTGGCGCCCTCTCGAGGACCGAAAAAACGGCCAATTCGCTATAGTCGACGTGTCAGGGCAGGGGTTCTGTCCACCTCCGAGCCTCTGGTGTCCCCCATGCCGCATCTCCACCCGTCCCGAGCCGCAGGCGGTGCGCCCGCGCCCGCCAGCCACGATCTTCCCCTGCCGCGGGCTGTGCCCCCCCCCTAAAGGAAACCCCGGTCCTCGATCCACACGCTGGGCGCCGCTTCGTGGGGTGGGTGGGGTGGGGGGGGGGGGGGCGATCAAGGGGTACGCCTCGGGCCCCTAAGCCTCCTCCCTCCTCTCCTCCTCCTACCCCTCCTCCTTTACCAAACCCCTCCTCCTCCCCTCCCCCCCCCTCCCCCTCCCCTCCCCCTCCCCCTCCCCCTCCTCCTCTTCCTACTCCTCCTCCCCTCCTCCTCCTCCCCCTCCTTCAAGGAGAGGTGCACGCCTCGGGCCCCGAAGGCCCCTTGCTGGGCCCCGAAGGGCCACCCCACTCTCGGCAGCCACCGCTGCCCCGAATGCACCGCCCCCCCCCCCCCTTTGCAGGACGCCCAAAAACACGGCGGAAGTCTCCTCCTCCTCCTCCTCCTCCTCCTGCTCCTCCTGCTCCTCCTCCTCCTCCTCCTCCTCCTCCTCCTCCTGCTCCTCCTCCTCCTCCTCCTCCTCCTCCTCCTCCTCCTCCTCCTCCTCCTCCTCCTCCTCCTCCTATGGGCGCCAGGGGCGGGCAAGTGCGATTAGACTGGGCAGCTCCCCGCCCACGCCGCCCGAGGGCCGTTTGGCCAGCCTCTCGGCGCTCGTCGCGGTCGGGCTGACGCCTCGGCTGCAAGAGCAGCAAGGGCAAGGGGGGCGGGCAAGGGCCAAGCCCGATGGGCATCTCCTCGCCCATGCCGCTGAGGGCCTTTGCCAGCCCCTTGGCGTTGATCGCGGGTGGGCCGAGCCTCGGGCGCGAGAGCGGAGGAGGCAGGGAGGCAGAGGCCGAGGAGCCGCGAGGGGACGGTAGAGCGGCGAGTCTCGGCACGTGCGCAATGCTTTAAAAGAGGCCTCCTACATGGGGTCGGAAGAGATGGGGTCGGAAAATCGCGCCGCATCGCCGACGCATCGGCGATGCATCGGCGATGCATCGGCGACACACCGGCGATGAAGAGGCGACGCATCCGCGAAGCCGGCGAGGGGGAGATCGGACTCCACATCTAGCCGCATCAGCGATGCATCGGCGATGCGGCGCGATCCTCCGACCCCATCTACTCCGACCCCATCTAGGAGGTCTCGATTTATGGGCTGTGTACTCACCACCTTTACTTCGATAGTCTTGATCCCGGTCGGCCCACGGACAGAATGACATCCCCGAAGAGCACAAGACCCTCTGCTGGCCCAAACTGGAGAACACTCGAGGGTGCCCTCCCCCAGGATGCACATGAACATCCAACAAGCACGAAGAACAGTCGGGAACCCTCCCCGAACCGACCTCGATGTTATACCTCGGCCCAACCGTGCCTGCGCAGGCAAAATCCGCCAGCGATAAGACCTTTGGCTTGAGTAGCTGGCTGCAACAATGGAATGCACGTCAGGCGCTCAGTTACTTTGCTGAAGAGCGTGCAGCGATGACCAATGTCTGGGGCTCGCTGGGCCCAAATGACCCATTGTTTGACGGTTGCCGTTGGGCTCAGTCGTGTCTGAACATGCCGGCCGAACCTCTGATGCCACAAACTGGCAACTCATCGCTCCAACGAGTGAGCTCTGCAGTCTGGAAGCTCGAGCCATGCGTGCGCCCCGATCGAGTAAAACTGCGAGCGCCAGGCTACGATCAAAAGCTGCCCTCGAGTGCACAACACCCGAACACAGGGCCGAACCCATGATGGGCCCATTTTCCACAACCACTGCCACAGGTAGGACAGGGAGGAGGAGGAGGAGGAGGAGGAGTAGGAGGAGAAGGAGGAGGAGGAGGGGGAGGAGGAGAAGGAGGAGGAAGAGGAGGAGGAGGAAGGGGAGGAGGAAGAGGAGGAGGACCTCCTCATCCTCCTCCCCCGTTCTACGTCCGGTAGCGGTGGTCGTGGACAGTGTGCCCAGCAGCGCCTGCGACCCCACGCGCGCCAATGCACTCGCACGCACACGAGCGCAGAGCGCACGCCGCTTGCCCGCCGGCACGCCCCGGGGCCGCGGCCCGACGACCGCCGACTCCTCGGAGCCCTCCTCCGTGTCCGAGTACTCGTCGTCGCTGAACTGCTCCGACCCCTCCTCCGACGACCTGCCCCCCGCCCGGGGGCGCCGCGCCCCCGCCGCCCGCGAGGGGCCTGGACTCCGGGGGGCGAGCCCCCGTGGAAGAGCACGCTCGCAGAGATAGCTACACGATGGGCAGATGTTCCACCACCACTACCATATGTAGGATGAGGTCCTCCTCCTCCTCCTCCTCCTCCTCCTCCTCCTCCTCCTCCTCCTCCTCCTACGTATGGTAGTGGTGGTGGAAAATGCCCTGGGCACTACAGTCGGGGCGTGGACCTAAGAAAAACCCTAGATAAGAAACACTGTGAGCCCCTCCCCAACGAAAAGGGTTCCTTCGTCAAGGCCCCGACTGTACGTCTCCGCGCGGGGCATCCGCAAGAAGAGCTTTCGCGGGCCAGCGGGTTCCCGGCCCGGGGGCCTGGCCCACGAGGCCGTTGCTGCGCGGCCCAGCAGGAACGAGGAAAGGCGACACCAATACCACCAGGGCGAGGAGATGCGAGGAGCAAGGGGGGGGCTCCCTGGTGAAGGCGTCGCGGGCCCGGCGCCCCACGTCCCCGGGTTCGCGGCCCAGGGTCCTGGCCCACGAGGCCGCCGTGGGTGGGGATGAGCCTTCCGTGCGAGAACTTTGGCGGCGCGCACGAGGGGGTGGGGAGAGAGAGAGGGGGGGGGGAAAAGGGGGTAAGGTGAGGGTCGGCGCCTCTCAGGGCTCGAGGCTTGGCGCCCCTCCAGGTGAGGAACAACCGCCTTGGAGGCTGCTTCTTGGGAGGCGCCGGCCCTGCATCTATTCCTGAGGCCCGCGCCTCCTAAGAAGCCGGGGTGCTTCTAAGAAGCCCTCCCCACTCCCCCATCACCCCGCTTCTGCGAGTAGCCGACGCCTGGCCTTCGCTCGGACGTCCATTCCCTGTGTTTTTTGTTCGGTCTTCTGCGTGGTTTGTTTCACCAAATGACCAAGGATGCTCCTCGATGGTCCTCGCCGGAGAAAAAAGCACACGTCCGAGCGATACCAAGACGCTGGACCTGGAGGCTCTGGGGGCGCTCTCCGTCCACCAAGAGGCGCCCAGGTTCGCGCGGCGCGGGGCGCGAAAAGCTGCGCGCTCTCGCGCCAGGGGGGAGAAGGAGGACGATTTTTGTTCAACATCAACGAGGACACGCGCCAGCAAAGCTGGAACTGTAGTGAAATACATCATGATTATTAACCGTGGTTCAAATCCGCGTCTAATGGTGAGGCCTTGAACACTCTCGGAATCCACCAAGGAGGACGAGGAGGAGGGGGAGCCGAGCCGCGAAAAACGCAGAGCGCAAAAAACCTTGCGCCCCCGAGGGCGCCCTGGGGGTCCCCAGGGGCTGCTCGCGCCCGCGGCCGACAGGCCTCTGGGCGTGTCGGCCTTCATCGCGGCGTGGGCCGCCAGGGCCGGCCTGCTCCCTCCCTCGCCTTCACGCTCCTCCGCCTCCTCGTGCTCGTCCTTCCCCTGCCCCCACTGCTCGTGCTCCTGCTCCACCTCTGGGATCTCCTGCTCCCCGCGCTCCTCCTGCACCCAAGTTCCACTCTTCGTATTCCTCCTCCTCCTCCTCCTCCTCCTCCTCCTCCTCCTCCTACTCCTCCTTCTCATCCTCCTCCTCCTCCCCGTCCTCCTCATGGCATGGAGTGCGTTGCACGGCACGCGCGGGATGAGATGATGTTCGGCATCGAAGAGGGGGTCTCGAACAGCCTGGTGCAGAGCGGTCCTTTGCTGCAGAAAGGAGAACGTCAACTGCCACTGCCTGCCGAGGGACGTAGGGCGGCCTGCCTCCTGCGCACGCAGAGTGCGCACCCTGTACAAGCGTGGCACGCCGACGAAAAATAAAGAACTGGCAAGAGTACACTTTGCCTCTGGCCCGCTCGACCTGGTGCAGTCCTGTCGGGCCGGGCGAAAGAAAACGGGGATAGAAGGGGTGGGGGGTGGGGGGTGAGACTCAGCTCACGTAGCTCATGTTCCCGGCGCCTCCCGGCGCCGGGAGGCGCCCATGTATCGAGTAGTGGGCCTGCCAGAGGGGCCGAAACCAGCTGCATGCATTATGTTGCTCCCGTCGTGCTTAAGGACCTCATCCAGAAATAATTTCGAGCGCCCCGGAAAGTGTCGAAACAGTGTCGAAACACGTGTCGGGCGAGCGTCTCCCAGGGCCCGACACGCGAAAACCATCGAGTTTTGGTACTTTTTGGGGGGCTCGGAACTCTTTCTCGTGATCAAGGCTCTAGTAGGTTGGAACATCACAATGCATGCAGCAGATTTCGTACCCCCCCCTCTCTCCCTATCCCCCCCTTTCGTTCGGCCCGATCCTGTGACACCGCGCGAATGTGGTGCGGCGCCTCGATCCCCCAACCTCCTGCCCTGGTATGTGCCTCTAGGGGCCCAGGGACACGCAAACACATAGACACAACTCCCAGGAAGACCTTAGATTCCAACAAATGTCCTGGATGCTCGATTCCCCCTCCACTGCCCATGCCACTTCCCATGTGTCCCGTGCTTTACTGAAGATCGACTTATACGTGTTATACGTGTGTCTGTGTCGATGTGTGCCTCCTGGTGAATGTGCCCCCCTTCGGGCGTTGGCAAAACTAGGTTTAGTGGGACCCGGTCTAATGATGTGCACTGAGGGACCGCCCCCCCCCGCCCCGTTTCACTAACCGGACCTGCCGTAACCCGAAGAAACACCACCTACGGCAAACCTGGTTTAGTGATTCTGGCCAATTCAGGGGCGCCGGGGCCCTACCGTCGGGAGAAAGGGGGGAATAGCAAAGGGAGGTTTGAGAATCAGCTCACGTAGCTGATTTTCCCGGCGCCTCCCGGCGCCAGAAGCGCCCATGTATCCAGGAAGGGGCCCCTCGGTGAGACCGAAACCAGCTGCATACCGCAGATTTCGTAACCCCCCATTTCCCAATCCCCCCCTTTCGTCCGGCCCCTACCACGAACCGGGTCGCCTCACCTAGGGTCCTGGCCATGATTAGGGGAACAACAAGTGACATAAACATAAAAACTCGGAGGTCCGCGCGGATTTCTCGGATCCAACGCCGGTCCGCTGGAGGCGCCGCCTTGGGGCCCCAACGCCGATCCGTGAAATCCGCGCGGACCTCAGAATTTTTATGTTTATGTCACTTTTTGTTCCCCTGATAATTACCCGACCCCTTCTCGAGCGAGTCCCACAGAGCGTCCGCGCGAGTCGAGGCGCCTCGAAGCGCGGCCGAGCCAGTGCCCCCCCCCTCACTCGGGCTCCTCGCCCTTGCAGCCCTTGTGCTCCTTTGTTGGGGGCAGAACAGCTTGGCGCCGCGCAGAAGGGGGTGGAGGGAGGGGGGAAGGCTTCTTAGAAGGAGGCTGCTTCTTAGAAGGCACCGGCCTTGCATCTACAGATAAGCCCCGCGCCTTCTAAGAAGCAGGGGTGCTTCTACGCAGCCCTCCCCCCTCCCCCCACCCTCCTCTGCGCGTGGCTGAACAGCCAACCTCAGAATAAGCACCCCGACAAGCAGAGGCGTTTAGTAAACGCGCCCAAAGAAGGAATCGAGCAGGGCAGGGCTGTTTAGTAAACGCCCAAGGCCATTCAGTGAACGCCAATCATCGGGGTCGGGGTGGTCTTTCCCCACTGGATCCTTGGAGCAGCAGTACGCGATCTTCTTCGGCGACCACGACAGCTCCAGGCAGTGCATGCAGTGGTGATACCCCGCGTCGCAGTCGTACTCGCTGTTGTCTGGCGCCGGGGGAGCGTTGGACGGCGGCAGCCCAGAGGGCGGGGGGAGCTCCGACGGGCAGCCCTTGTTCGCGGTCTTGCAGCAGTCCGCCACCGCGCCCCCCTCGGCACGCGCGGGCGCGCGGTGGTGCCACGGCGGCCTGGCCCTGTGCTCCTGCAGCTTCCCTGCGCGCGTGCACCCCCAGCCCTGGCCATCGCTCGGACGTCCATTCCCTGTGTTTTTGTTTCGGTTTCGTGCGTGGCTTTCTCGCCAAATGATCAAGGATGCTCCTCGATGGTCCTCGCCGAAGGAAAAATGCACACGTCCGAGCGATGCCAAGAGCTTGCCGGCCGAGGCTCCCTGGCCATCGGGCGTCGAAGACAAGCGGCCCCAGGTGGCCGATCTGGTCCAGGGCTCCTTCAAGGAGGCCCCCAGGCGTTTCAAGAGTCGCCCCCCTTCTAATCAGGGAGCAGGGGAGGCCACATCGTCGTCGCGAGGAGCCATGAGTGCATAGACATTTATCTTGCAGGGCCGAAGCGGAGCCAGGTAACATTCGGTGATCATGAGACCTTGGAGAGAGACAGAGAGCGGGAACCAACACATACACATAGACTCGCGAGCAGCGAAAATGTGCGAGATGAGTGTGTGGGTGACTCTCGACGAAGAAGGAGGTGGGCGAGAGGGGCCCGAGGACGATATCTGTCACAAGTTACGGCAGCGGGCCCTGTGCTCGAAAGGTGGCCACACGATCTGCTGCGCTGGCACGGTGGTGGAACTTGCCGCAGGCAGCCAGATACAGCTTCTTTTCGCCCGACCAGCCGCGGACCCACTGGAGAGGGTCCAGATCGTTGTAGCCCGCATTGCAGTCGATCGGACAGGGCGAGGTGGTGCTCCGCTGCGTAGTGACGACTGGCACCGGCGCGGGGATTATACTTGGCGCCGCAGGAGTCGTCGGGCACCCCTTGCCTTCGTGCAGGCAGCAGTAGACCTTCTTCGGGACATCCCAGCTCACGACGTCGCCCTCCCCACAATTAATCTTCTTCTCCGTCGTTGTGGGAGGCGGAGGCGGAGGCGGCGGAGGCGGCGGAGGCGGCGGAGGCGGGGGCGGGGGCGGAGGGGGCGGCGGGGGCGCCCTGGTAGTCGTCTTCTTTGTGGTCGTCGTGAAAGTGATTTCGGGCGGCGCCGTGGACGGCGGGACAAACGGAGTGGTGGTCGTCGTGGTCGTGGTGGTGGTCGAGCCGGACGCCATGGCGAAGAGCAGGAGCGGCAGCAGCAGCAGGCACAGCCCCAGGGGGATGAGGCACAGGCAGCAGCTCGGGCCGCGCCCGGGGATGCGGATCATGCCGAACTCGCCCGCGCCCATGCCCACGTACCTGTAGGTGGTCTCCGCGGCGTAGTCGCCCCCGGGGCCCACGTAGCTCAGCGTGGTGGTGCCGCCCGCCCCGCCGCAGCCGGACGCCTCGGCACACGCCGCGCCACAGGCGGGCCCGCAGCCCATGCACGCGGTGGCCCCGGCGCAGCACCCCGTGCAGCCGCCGCCGGCGCCTGCGCCGTACGCGCCGCCGGCGCCTGCGCCGTACGCGCCGCCCGCGCCGAGCGCGCCGGGGGCGCAGTGCGCGCCGCCGACGCCCGCGCGGTAGCCCCCGCCGTAGCCTCAGGAAGGGCGTGTCCCCCTAGAGGGGGATGTTGGGCGAAAGCCCAAGAATGCTCAAAAAATGCACCCCAAATGCTCAAGAATGGTCATCGTCTCGACTATTTTTGGGCTACTTTGGAATATTCCTCCTGTAGAGAGACAGGCCCGACTTCTCGGGGATGGACAGACCCCCATTTAGTAAAACGTGGTTTAGTGAAAACGACCTGAGGCCCAAACCTGGCGGGCGCAAGCCTGGAAAATGTCGGCCACGGCGCCCTCTCGAGAACTGAAAACGGACAATTCACTAATCGACGTGTCACTGTTGGGGGTTCTGTCCACCCCCGAACTTCACCGTAGCCACCATAAAGTCCGGAGCCGAGGCCGCCGGAGCGGAAGGAGCCCATCATGGTGCCCGGGCGCGGGAGGGGCGCGGCCGCCGTGAGGTGTCTCCCAGGCCTCCCTCGGGCCAGAGGTCGCTGGAGCCTCAAAGGCTGCGGACGGCTGAAAGCTGGCAGCTGACCCGGGCAGTCTGGGAAACCCGTGGTCACGCTGGCCCTGCTACGGGCGACGGGTGGCTTAAGCATCAGGCTCCGAAGAGATGCCCTCTGGAGCAACATTTTGGGCATCTTGGGGCTATCTTGGCTGTCTGGAGCTGTCTGGGGCTGTTCACGTCGTTTTGGCCCTGGGGCTTCGTGGAGCCCTCCTGGTGCTCTCTGGGACCGTTACGGGGGCTCGTAGAGTCCCCTTGGGATGCCTGGGGAGCATGTCGAAAGGTGCCTGGGCGGTCCTGGAGACAGCGTGTTTCCCAACCGGGGACTCAGGTGGCCCACTGTTTGGCGCCCATTTCCTCGGAGAAGCTCCTGGCAGGGTAGGAATCACAGTGAAATCGTGCTTCAAAGATCGTACGGCAAGCACGGTGAAGGTGACACAAGCCCATCGTCCTGCGAATCTCGGGTCCCGAGACGCAGCGCACCACACCGCTAGCCTGGCGCCCCTCCCTGAAGTACCCTTCCCTGCATCAGAGCTCGATCCTCAGTACCCTCCTCCCTAAGTACCCTCCCCTTCCCTAAGTACCCTCCTCCCTAAGTGCCCTCCTCCCTAAGTACCCTCTACTTCCCCTTACCTGCATCCAAGTACCCTCCTCCCTAAGTACCCTTCCCTTCCCGCCAACCTACAGTCAACCCGTATCATGAGGATGCGCGATGAGGATGCAAGCAACTTGGAGGGCCATGTCAACGTTTCTCGGACGAGGTTGGCCGCTGGCTGGCCAAAGTCGCCAAGGAACGGGCCGGGGGGCAAGGATGCAATGGCACCCTTGGGAAGGTTGCCCATCCCTACTATGCGGGTTGCCTGTACAGTCGAGGCGTTGACCTAAGTAACCCTAAGTAAGGAACGAGGCCCCTTTCGCCCATAAACTCAACCTCGATTTCCTACGGAAAACCTCTGGAAAACCCGAGGCACACTTGGAAGCAGTCCAGGCACACCGAGCCCCTCCCCAGCGAGAGAAGGGCTCCCTCTTCAGCGCCCCGACCGTACCCTTCCCTGCACCAGAGCTCCACGAAATCCAACCGACGTGCCCCCCCCCCATCCGCACAGCCCCCCGACGGCCACCACAAGAGGGGGCCGCAGCCCCGCCGGCACGCGGCGGCGCCCCCCCCCCCTACGGGGTGGGACCGCGCCCGCCGCCGTGCCCGCCACTCCGCTGCTCCGCCCCTGCCCGAGCAGCAGCAGCGAGCCCACTCCCGGGGCCAAGCTGTTCCTTACCTCAGCGCTCTGGCTGTCTCATCGGTCGAGCCATCTGAACTGCGCCAAGGCGCGGGCGAATCTCAAACATTGGCGGGGAAGCTGACGCCATCAGCTCGCACGACTGTCTACGGGCCTCCCAACTGTGCACCGACCTAGTTTGCTCACGGGCTGCATCCTCTTCCTTGTAGCACGCCTTCTCCGATCCCCACCATCAGTCTGAACGCACTGCATTCCCCACAATGGTCACATGTGTGCTCACGAGAGTCTCAACCCATGAAGCGACTCTTCGCTGTCGTCGCCCAACGGGAACTCCTCTGGCCCGAAGAAAAAGAATGCCTCGGGAAGAATGGGGCGCGCATGTGACTCGAATGCTCATGCTACCACAAGCGCCACACAATGGTGTATATCGATCCTCTACCTTCTCGTCAAACCGTCTATCCAATCCGAAGTCCTTATCGCCTCATCATGCCACTGGATGCTCACTGAATCGTCATCATCATCATCACCACCACCATCATCATTACCATCATCATCACCAACGCTGATCGGCCCTGTTGTAGCTGCACTGCAGGTAGATGCGTTAGTATGCAGCAGCGTTTATTCACAATTGCGCTCACGATTCAACCGAGACGCAACCTGGCTGCTTACGAACCTACCGACAGCAACACTTGCCGCAAGCAGTTCACTCGCACTACAAGAAACGCAACATCGACGAAGCACGGTACGTGTGCAGGAGAACTCTCGAACATCTGTGATAACCACGACATCTGCGACTGGACCCTGGATGAGGCCGGTAACTCCGTTACCTCTTTGCGCAAGCGTGTCATGCAACCGTGCTACTTCTGGGCTGCAGGCAGAACGCCTGAGAGGCCGAGAGGCTCGCGCAAAGACTTTGGGGTGTCTTCGGCACGTCGCCGAAACACAAAGATAGCGTCTCCGGCCTCTCGGGTATAATAACAAGAGGAACATACTTCGGCCGGTGACAAAGACAACAGAACTTCAGACTCCGACCTTTTGCAACATAAGGAAGATTACGAGTACAAGGCTCATGAAGACAGGATAATGCATAGCAAGGAGAAAAAGTAACGTGTAACTTGTTGGTATTGACATTTGCTGAACCGTAAGGCGCGGCTTTAGCTTAAGTCGGAGCAGCCTATGTCTCGCCAATTCGGACTAAGCCCTTTCTGCAAGAGGATTGGCGACAATTCTGCGCAACGCGGCGATTTCAGCAGAGTGGGGAAGACGGAGCGCTTATCGAGGAAGTGTGAACGCTAACTGGCTGCACGTTATCACTTGTGTTCTGCGTCTTCGGTTCGTGTTAACCTGTTGTTCAACAGCATTGCACCAGGGCGTACGATCGCGCAGACTCGCAGCGACCCCACATCACCGAGGACCCTCGAATCATGACAAAATAATGCCTGGTTGCTGGCTCCTGGGTCAAGAAGACCAAACGCATATCTACATATCTGTCGACACGCCCAACATCGCCGCGAGCACGCGGGGGGGGGGAGACGCCGTGTGGCGCTGCGCATGACCCAATCAACCGTCTGAGTCCCCAGATTTCCGGCGTCGTTGCTTATCGTGACGCGGCCCCCCAGGAATCCTCGATCGCTTCCTCGGGACCGGTCGCTCATGGTCTTTGACGGCACCAAGATCCGAAATAAACCTCCAGAGGCCCTCATTGAGCCAGAACACTCAGTGGCCCAAATGGATCAGGGCCGAATGGCCCGAAATGAACCAAGGCACTCAGGAGAGAATTAACCGTGTTTATCTTTCTGTGGCGACTCATGAGATCCTCCCATGTCATCTCCCTGGCCCCTGCGAATCGACTCTAACTGGCCCTGGTCTACCCCAGTCCACGCTAGTCGACGCTAGATCGTCGCTAGTCAACGCTGGGTCGGCGCGGTCCCATCAATTACCAGACGCTGACGTACACGATGCATTCTGGAGGCGAGCAAGGTGTTTGTTGGCATGGGTTCCCACTGCACACGATCACTCTGGTAAGCAACACCACATGGGACGCCCGAATTGTCCGGGTTCATTGCCAGGGCAACGTCGGTTTGGGCCCCCGAGGCGAGAATCTGCAGCTACCCCTGACTGCCCCCAGCCCCGATGATTCGGGAGGGTTCGCATTGGCACTGCTCCTCGGGTTGAGCGGTACCAACGCGGCCGTACTCCTGATTCCATACCTGACTGCTGCATGTCCTGGCAGCGCGCGCCGAGCGGGTGGTGGAATAGGTGTGCCGTCTGAGGCCTCGCGGAGTGACCCTTTGATAGAAGAAAAGGTTATATAAACATAAGTTGTGGCGCTCCGCGCGGATTTCTTGGATCTGCGCTGGATCCCCCTCCCTGGCGCGCGGAGCGCGCCAGGAGCGGCGCCAGAGGCGCCGCTGTGGGGAAGCCCAGCGCGGATCCAAGAAAGCCGCGCGGAGCGCCACAAGTTTACGTTGTTATGGCGTGTCTGCTTCTTCGAATGGAAATTCCCCGCCGCGTCTTCGCCTCGCCCTGTAGGTTGTAGATGCCATGACAATGGACTCTCTAACAGTCCTATCATGGAATTAAACGTGTTTAAATTACAGGAAAATTCCCTACCTAGGCTCTGCCTAGAAGGGTTCTTACTCTCTTAGCTGAAAGGGGCCGGGCAGTGGAACACGCCCCGGGCGGTTCCCCCAGTCCCCTGGGAGCGGTTCCCCCCAGTCCCCTGGGAGCTTTAGCTTGAGCTTTAGCTCTAGCTTAGATTTAGCTTAGCTTTAGCTTAGCTGTAGCTTAGCTTTAGCTTAGCGTTTCGCGTAGCTTTTCGCTTAGCGTTTAGCTTAGCTGTAGCTTAGCGTTAGCTTAGCTTGAGCTCAGCTGTAGCTTAGCTTTAGCTTAGCTTTAGCTTAGCTTTAGCTTAGCTTTAGCTTAGATGTAGCTTAGCTTTAGCTTAGCTTTAGCTTAGCTTTGACTTAGCTTTAGCTTAGCTTTAGCTTAGCTGTAGCTTAGCTTGAGCTTAGCTGTTGCTCAACTTTAGCTTAGCTTTAGCTTAGCTTTAGCTTATCTTTAGCTTAGCTTTAGCTTAGCGTTAGCTTAGCTTTAGCTTAGATTTAGCTTAGCTTTAGCTTAGCTTTAGCTTAGCTGTGGCTTAGCTTTAGCTTAGCTTTAGCTTAGCTTTAGCTTAGCTTTAGCTTAGCGTTACTGTTACTACTAATGCTGCTTTCCTAGGGGATTCAACTCCTAGGTAGGGTCGCACTGGGATAATCTTCTAAACCGGTTTGAAACATGAGTGTTTCATATGTCTAAAACATGTCTAACGCATGTTTTAGACATCTGGAAACGTATTTGGCAGCACGCTTCCTCTCCATTGATCGTCCTCCACAACCTGCAGGAAGCTCCCCCTGGCTTGCTGCCGACTCCGTCTGCATGCCTGGGGGCCACGGCCCGAGCCCGCTCGAGCGGGCTAACGGCTGCTTTGGGAAACCAAAAGGTACCGATACCGCTGCCCCCCGGACCTCTCCAGGGATGCGTTCTGACCAGGATCTCGAGGCGAATCCAGCGGTGGCGACGAGATCCTCCGAGGAGGCCCGGAAAGAGGAGAACGGCCGAAGGGTAGCGGTATGGGCACCTGTCCTCAACCTCTCCCCTTCCCCCGCCCTGCACAGTGGTCGGGCCTCCTCCTGTCGGA